ATTATTTCCAAAAACGTGTGACACCCCGCCTCCGCTAACCAGATCTAAGTCCACCAGACTTTTATCTGTTGGGAGCAGCAAAATCTTCACTGTATTGTGATCGTCAGCGCACAATGGGTGACTGGAAAGAATCGATAACAGCGTCCATTCTGTCTGTTTTAAGAGAGAGCAATAAATGGCGGTGTTCAGAAACAAAAATAAGAAGGATCCAAACCTGTTGATAATGTTAGCAGGCGTCACTTTCAGTATTGTTTATAATTTTCAATCATATTCTCCTCCTGTATTCTATACTGAAACATGTTTGTTAATAAAAGTATAACTGCATAGTGACTTTTCGAACACCCTGTGTATTTCCACACCGTAGGACACAAACACAGAAAATATTAACAACGAACCCCTTAAAAACGTTTGATAAATTGGCATAAAATAGTTGGGAAAATAGTCAGGACGAATAGCTTACACTATCTCAGGCACACCAAAATAAAAAAAAAAATTGTAACCACATTCTTCTTCTATGAACTGTACCTTTCAGACCGGGTTCAGTCATGGCTCTTCACAACATCCCGTCTTTTGTAGCTTTTAGTAGGATTTGTTTGTTTGTTTTTTTTATATATATCCTTCTTAAGGTCTGCTGTTCCATTAACATATGCACGTTAGGTAGGTCATTCATAGCTTTCCTCTTTTGCTCTCATTTTAAATTTGTCCTGTGTGTATATATATATATATATATATATATATATATATATATATATATATTGAACAATAAAAAAATATTAAAAAATTAAAATCTTCAGACACACTGGGTTGTAGATTACTATTCTTTCGTTTTCTTTATTATTATTTCATTTAAATTCCTCGACTAGTTTCGGTCAAAATGGCCATCATCAGGAGAAGAAATTTTTCTGCTTGCTGGTAGCAGTAAACTACAGAAAAATATATTTATATATATATATATATATATATATATATATATATATATATATATATATATATATAGTGTGTGTGTTTATGCAAATATATATATATATATATGAGTCAGAATGAAATATAAAGAAGTGCTTGACCCTATCTATCTGTGGTTATAAATAAACAACTATATGTGTCCCTACATGCACAGAAATATAAATATTTGATCCATGAATATTTGTGTTTACACATGCACTTACACAGCCACGCACGAACACACACACACACATATATATGTGTGTGTGTGTGTGTGTGTGTGTGTGTGTGTGTGTGTGTGTGTGTGTGTGTGAATCTGACTTTTTGATTTCTTTTATACGGTTGATGTCACGACATATGTAAACGAATTCTTTCTCTTTCGCTGTGCCATTCCATTTTCTGAAATTATTTCCGCGGGGTAAAATACCGATCAGGAAATTAATGACATGATTTGTTTCGTATCTTCGAAGAGGAACCCTTTTTGTCAGGCTGCTTGTGGAGAACGTGCCAAACGTGGAGGTTAATATGCGGAACCTAGCTGATGCAAAAATGCCAAAAGAACTAACTCGAGAATACTTCATTATCGTCTGCACCAAAAAGCGCTTCGGCAAATATTTTGCAATGTAAACATAATTGGCTCCGAAAGTAAGCGAAAACACATTTGAGAAAAAGAAAACCATTAAATACTCTTTGTTTACGAAAGCTTTTTGATACTTTATTAGCAGAACATTACAAGTTCATGGTGATAGGAACACCTTCCGGGTTGTAGGTTCCTGATTTGAAAGGGCTAGATGACCCACACTCTATTCAGACGGAGTTGAATTAAATTTTAAGCAATGGCATTTTTGCCACTAAAGTTCATCCAATAAAAGGCTCCAGAGTCACTCCTGCTAAGTGTGTTGCTGAAGTAAGTGAAGATTATGAGGAGAAGGACGATAGAAAGCGTTTGACGCTTGACTTGTACAGATTTGTAGTTTTCGGGAAGCACCCACGTAGGAGCATCCATAAAGCAGATTCTCAGGAAGTCTCCTTCTGAAAGGATCTTCCATCTTACAACTGGAATACGGAGGAAATGATGGCGATTCGACTCCGTGGAAGTAATTTGGTGAGACTTACCTATAAATATTTGAATGGGTGGAACATCAATATAGGACATCAATATATCAGAGTACTGATAGTCTTACAATGTTACTTCTGAAGGAAATAGGGTATATATTCCGAGGAACTGAGCTGATTGTAACTCATACGTCGAATACGACGGGAGAGTCCACACCATGATTACATAAAAATATTCTTTAAATATATGCTATATCAGAGAAAAAGCGTATGTAAATATAAAAGTGGACACTGAGGTCAACATCGAGCGAGGAAAAATGGCCTGAAAATTGCGTCCAAGCATGGAGCTTGGTGCTGACCTCAATGTTCACTTGTATATGTTTTTATTTTGAAAGCCAACAACAAACAAAAGCTTTGATACTGATTCAGGTTAAACAAACAGGCGGACAACCACTCTCTTGAGTCGGGATATTGGGTTTAATAAGGTAATGTAATTCAATTTTATTTATTTATTTTTTTGCAACTTATCATCATAAGTTCAAAGACATTTTCCTCACATACAGTATTGTCTTTCTTTCATTCTAACCTGCGGAATGCAAGGAGAGTAGGCTCTCTCGGCGAAACGTAATAACTTTTTTCACTTTGCCTCAGCATTTTCTGTTTTGCTTTGGATATTATTACACATCCTACAAACACCCTATATATATATATATATATATATATATATATATATATATATATATATATATATCAGCTGTCAGGGTTTCGATATCTGGTGGTGGATGCGCACTGCTGATGAGTCCCAATTATAGGACGAAACGGCCGTCCAGTGCTTCCTCTATTTTTCAGTTGAGATTTATATCGGACTCAATGAATTTATTCATTTATATGTTTATCAAATCCTCCTACTTATTATGTATTTATTGTTGCTTGATCCGGCTTCTAATGCTCCAGTTGGCGCGGCTTGGTGATAGTAGTCGTGGCTCCAGGAGGCACAGTCTTATGGTTATATATTGAACTCAGGAGTAGTTCTGCCACGGAATATGTGAGTGAGTGGCGCTATGTGGGTCTGATATGATTCTCTTCGGTGTCGAGGCCCGGTTGGTACAGTTGGTATGTTGTCTGCTTGACAACCCAGCTGTCAGGGTTTCGATATCTGGTGGTGGGTGCGCACTGCTGATGAGTCCCAATTTTAGGACGAAACGGCCGTCCAGTGCTTCCTCTATTTTTCAGTTGAGATTTATATCGGACTCAATGAATTTATTCATTTATATGTTTATCAAATCCTCCTACTTATTATGTATTTATTGTTGCTTGATCCGGCTTCTAATGCTCCAGTTGGCGCGGCTTGGTGATAGTAGTCGTGGCTCCAGGAGGCACAGTCTTATGGTTATATATTGAACTCAGGAGTAGTTCTGCCACGGAATATGTGAGTGAGTGGCGCTATGTGGGTCTGATATGATTCTCTTCGGTGTCGAGGCCCGGTTGGTACAGTTGGTATGTTGTCTGCTTGACAACCCAGCTGTCAGGGTTTCGATATCTGGTGGTGGATGCGCACTGCTGATGAGTCCCAATTATAGGACGAAACGGCCGTCCAGTGCTTCCTCTATTTTTCAGTTGAGATTTATATCGGACTCAATGAATTTATTCATTTATATGTTTATCAAATACTCCTACTTATTATGTATATATATATCAGTATGTGTGTGTCTGCGTGAATTACAATTAATGAGATCCAAACAATTTACCTCATACAGATGATAATTTCGTCCATGGGAAAGGAGTTTTTTTTTTCCTGGACTTATCAATGCAAATATATTTATTAATATATGCTCTATTATAAGAATTACATTGAGCTCTATTTTGCTGATCAGTTTTAATATTTTATATTAATAGGATCTACTTGGACTACTTAACCACGGATTTTTTACCTGGTACACACACACACATACACACACACATATATATATATATATATATTGTAGCCTACATAAGGATGATAATGGCTATGTCCCCATTCACATAAATACAGTAGTAAATACTTAAATACTATATGTTGGTCTAAAGTTTAGGACTCGTCTCCAGCTGTGCTGGTCAAACTCTCTGCCGCTGGGCAGAGAGGATCCCCAGACGAGGCTGTGTTGAAGGGCAGAGTCTCGTCTCGGGAAACAGCTACGCGACCCCGTTTTATACGGGGTCTACGGGGAATTTTTGGCCGAGCTTACGGGCTAGAATAACCTACATTAAATTTGGCCTTTTGCCACATCGAATAACCTACATTAAATTTGGCCTTTTGCCACATCGAATAACCTACATTAAATTTGGCCTTTTGCCACACACATATATATATATATATATATATATATATATATATATATATATATATATATATATATATCAAACAAACGATATTGGTAATTACTTCAAAATATATTTATATGATAACGATATCAGTTGAAATTCAATTTATAAGATGTATTTTTATTAGAAAAATCTACAATACCTCATGATATGCGATTTTAACCTGCATTTCGAGGTTTGTCCATCAAATATATATATATATATATATATATATATATATATATATATGAAAGTATAATTGAGAAGACGCCTCACGTGTAACTTATCTGAAAATGTTGCATAAAAGGCACTTAGCCACCCACAATCTACAACACTTAAGGAACACTTGCATTCATATCTCAGACTTGTCATCATTACAATTTTAATGGGAAAACTGTACTTTGAGTGGTACTCGAGCCTTGTATTGGGTGGAAAAGCTGCTAATGAAGATGCTTATCTAAAAGCGTAAGTCAATCGTCTGAAGTATTCGAAATAACACTTCAAGCTCAAAAGCGAATTAAGAAAATTTGAAATATAAAAAACGGAATTTGGTAAAACAACTCCGCCACCATAACACAAAAACAAGAAAGGAGAAAAAAATATTAAATGAACGACAATGAAAAAATGTAGTAAACGAAAGAAGGTCAGTCATGAAGAAAATTTTATGATAAATGAATGAATAAATTTGAAATAAAGACGAACAGAAGGAAATGAATGAAGGGAAGAAGCGAGAATGATAGAATAGAGTGGCTAATCGCTAATATATGAAAAGAGGAATGAAAGAAAAAAGAATGAACGATTGACAAATAGAAGATTACAAAAAACAACAACAGAAAGAAAGAAAAAAATATAGTAAGCAAGCAAAAAGAAGAAAAGAGGGGAAAGTAGCATGTGAAAAAAGAAAGGAAAAGGAAACAGCAAGAAGTACAGATAGAGCAAGAAAAAGAAAGAAGAAGAAAAAGAAAAAACAAGAAATAAATAAAAAGAATAAAAGTTAAGAACAAAGATAGAAAAGGAGAAAAGGGCAAAAAGAGAAAATGAAAAAGAGGGAAAAAGAAAATGAAAATGAAGGATGGAGAAAAATGAAAAACAGAACTAATTTCAACTCGAAACTAATTTCAACTCAGAACTAATTTCAATTCGGAATTAATTTTAACTCAGAACTAATTTCAACTCGGAACTAATTTCAACTCAGAACTAATTTCAACTCGGAACTAATTTCAACTCAGAACTAATTTCAACTCGGAACTAATTTCAACTCAGAACTAATTTCAACTCGGAACTAATTTCAACTCAGAACTAATTTCAACTCGGAATTAATTTAAAACAATGAAAAAGGAAGAAAACGAACAAATACGTAAAACGGATGGAAAAAGCCAAAAGAAAAGAGGAAAAAATAAAATAGGAAATGAAGCGGAGAAGAAAGAAAAATGATTTCTAAAGAAGTAAGGATTTTATTTATTCATCGGACAATTTAATAAAAATAACAAAGTGCGATACTGAAATCCGAAGTCGCATTAAGATGGCGAAAGATGCCTTCCAAAAGCTAAGCAAAGTATTAAGAAACAGAAAAGTTTCGTCAGAAACAATGAAAAGAGTATTGAACTGTTACATTATATCAGTTCTCCTGTCTGGTAGTGAATGCTGAACAATCTCCTCACAGATGACGAGGAGTTTTAAGGCAGCAGGATGTGGTTCTGCAGGAGAATGTTAAGGATATTACGTGTGGTAGGATCCATTTCTCCCAATTAATGGATCTGTCCTGAACAGATATAGTCGGGAAAACTCGGCTATTATGTAAAGTTCATTTAACCGCTGGGTTTGACAAGACTCATACAAATCTTTGGGCAGGGAGAAATCCAGACGATGTTATACCGATAGACAGTGCCTCGGGAGGTAGACAAACCCGACTCCGTGTATGCGGGGTCTACAGGGAATTTTTGCTCGAGTCCACGGGCTCAGAATTGCTCCACGTTAAAAACCGGCTTTGTGCCACATCCTGCTTTGTCGGGAGGATTGGGTAAATACCAGTTCATAAAAGCTTGTTGGAATCTCTGCCTTCGGGCGGAGAGGAACACAGACAAGGCTATGCGTACAGAGTCTCGTCTAGAGAGGTAGACAGCCACCCGACCCCGTGTATGCGGGGTCTACAGGGAATTTTTGTCTGGGTATACGCGCTCAGAATGTTCCACGTTAAAAACCTGCCTTGTGCCACATCCCGCCTTGTGGGGAGGACTTCATTAAATGCTGAGTTAATTAAAGCTTACTGATAAGCTAATTCGTATTGGCTCAAACAATTCTACTACACGGTTGACTGAATATGTCAGCAACGGCAAGTTTGAGAGAAAATAGAAACTAAAAGGAAACTCATATTTAATATCAGGAAGAGACAGTTGAAATTTCTAGAGCACATAATGAGAAAAGATGGATTGGAAAATCTGATACGCACAGGACTGTTTGAAGGCACGAGGAAAACAACGTATAACTTTCTCAGCTTGAGTAAATGGATGGCGGAAGAAGGCTTAGTATGAATAACAAAAAGACAAAATTTATTAAGAGCTGCAAATGACGAAGTTCTGGGTAGCCATGATCGCCTACGGCCTGAAAGGTCACAGCACATAGAACAGAATAAAAATGGTTAAAAGGGAAAGTGAGGAAATAAAATGAAAAAAAGTGAAGAGAAAATGGCAGAACAAGGACATGTAAAAGAAAAAATAGAAGGGGAAAGAAGGAAATAAGAGAAGAAAAAGGAAGAAAGAGAAATGGTAAAATGCAAAAAGAAAGAAACGTTTATGGAAAGGTGCAAAGCGAAATAAAAAATAAGGGATCACAGAAAAGAAAAAAAAAGAGTGAAAGGACATTTAGTAATGAATGAAATCGCATTAATTAATTAATTAATTAATTAATTAAAACAGAGTTAAAACTAATTTAAAAAACAAGCAAGAAACATCCACGGTAAAAAGAATGGTTTATATACACGTTCTAGAACTTATTTAAAGGAAATGCTCCAAAGGATAAAGATATTATTTTTTTAGAAAGAAGTGCAGAAGAAAAAATAACACAAAGAAAGCTTTGAATAAAACAGAATGCAATAAAGAAAAAATACAATGAAACAAAATGCAAGAAAAATGAGAAAAAAAAATTTATTATGACAAAATTAGATATAAAAGAGTTAAGATGAGATCTACGAAATTAATTATTTTTTTTTTAAATATGAGAGTCGGAACTGCATGAATGGCAAAAACAGGAAGAAGAAAACTATCCAATCAAAACATTCGATGGAAAAGCAAAGAAAACTATTCGGAAGTTGCAACGGAAGAAAGCTGTAAATTGAAAAAGAAAGGTTTTTTTTTAAGATTTATTTAATTCACATGAAAAAAATCGACATGCTAAAATATATTTTTTTGTTCTTGTTTTTTTGACTTTGTTTTCGTAATCTCTTTGGAAATGGTTCTTAATAATTGAGGCGAAAATCGCTTCTTACATTGAGCAAAAGTCGTAAATCGCTGGACGTGTTATCGCCCGTTTACGTTTTTTCTTGCCGTAAATGATTAAAATGAAAATTAGTTAGAGGGGGAAAAAAGTGCATACAGCGATTCCTGTTTTGTATGGTAAAAGAATAAAAGAAACAACATAGGAAAACAATAAGAGTGACCGCGAGAGAAAAAAGAAAGATAAAATCGAGGAATATAAGCTAAGAAATAGAGGGGAAAATAGACACGTACAGTAAATGTTAGAAGAAGCGAAAAAATTGTGCGTCATGGAAATAGATAATCTGCAATACGATCATTCATGAATATCTATATTTTCCCAATATATTCTTACTCTAAGTTTCTGTATCACTTTGGAAATATCTATGATTTCTTTATTTCTTACTATGTCTGCCACCCTGACGGGGACTACCCCCAATGGGCTTCCAAGACGCCCGTTAGGTGGCGCTGTTTAAATATTATAAAAGTACGAGCCGATATCTCCCTCTTTCCTTTTTTTTGCTCCAAGAAGCAGGAGCGTCGATACGACCCCTGGGGATATCATTACCCCGGGAACAGACAACTGCACTTTTAAACAGGTGTATCGCAGACACAGACTGTGTTTTGCCTTTCGTTTTCGGCTGTATATTTTCTATCTTTGTCTAACCATTTGTTTGTTATAAAAATGCATGTAAATATTTCCGTGTTGATCTTCCTACCTTCCGCATTAATTCCAATTTGTTTTATCCTTTCAAATACTGACAACCAGTTTACATGCAAAAATTTTAGCTGCCACTCTATTTTAATTCATCCATATTATCACCTATCGGCCGGTTCACACTCCTCCCTTGTCTTTTGAACAAAAGTAGAGCTTTATCCTTTGTTTCCTGTTTAGGATTTCCAATAGTCCGAATAATGTAAATAGTCTCTGCTATCTATTTACCTCAAATAGACATGATTGATTATTCATTTTTTGGAGAAATAATAACACGAGTTATCCTTATACTAACAACCCCTTGAATATTCAAGAAATATATATATATATATATATATATATATAATTATTGAATATTCAATAAATATCCACCATTTATTTGATGTTGTGAGCATTCTACGAGACAGATTTTCATTGATAAAAGAAATTCCGATCATCTCTTTTATTCTAACCTCTCCATCCGTTCTAAACTCAAGCATAATAAGCTCATCTCAGTTTATCACAAAGCTTCATATGTGTGGAACCTATAAATGTCTGCAATCATTTCACCAATGTCAAGTGCCCACATCTGTCAGATTGATGAGAAAATGCATTTGTCTTCGCAGCAGAGAAAAATAACAACATATTTTGATTGATAGATAAAATGTTTGCAATAATAGAATATAAAGGAAATTGTGACAAAAAGAAAAGAAAAGAAAAAGAAAAGAAAAAAGAAATAAAATGTCAAAGGTGTACTTATTTAGGGTGACTCGGAAACCGATTTGAGAATTGGGAAAAGCATAGGATAAGAAACACAGAAAAAAGATGTAAGAAATAGCAAATGGCAGAACGGGACGAACTGAATAAGGCTGATTATGAAGAATGACAATTACGATCGAAAAGGAACAAGCTCTTGGAATTTCTTGCTTTCTGGCTCAGATCGTGGCACCAGTGATTGGTGTTTGAGTTTAGTTAATGAATTCTGTCTACTCCTTTTCAAGGGAGACATCCACTCGTCAACTGAATTCGGAGGAGATCTCTTCTAAGAAGAATATTGGGAGTTAGATATGATTATAGCAGAACATGTATGTATAATTGCATTGTCTAATGGAGGGAGGAGAAAGAGGGGTACAGGCAGAAAGAGAGAGTGAAATGCCTAAATATAAAGGGAGACAGAAGAGAGGTAGGGAGAGAAGGGCTCAATAAATTTATTTATATCAAGATTGAAGAAAATCATGGGCCGTTTTTGGCTTTTAAGTTATAGACGATAGGAAGTATGTCAGAAGTCCGAAAGCGAATAAAAATAATGAAAGGGGTCTTTCAGAAAGTGATCAAAGTATTAAAATGACAAATCAGACTGATAAAATATTGTATAATTTTAAAATGTTAAAATAAAATTAAAAGAAGGATCGTATAATTTCTCTGGAAATAAAGTGTATTACGCTATAATATTTAATCTATATAGCGGTGACTGCTGGACAATTTCCTTATTTGAGCAAGAGAGAAATTGTTCGGCCAATAAATGCTGCAAATAAAATGGATAGAAAGTGTGAGCAATACGTTTTAAAGAAGAATAAAATTTGTAGACAAAAAGAAAACTGAATTTGAAGACTTCGTAAAATATATAATTACTGCAAGAAGGACAAATGGAAGTAAAATGACGGTAAAACGGGGGGGACTGCAGTAATTTAATGCTAAAAATGAAATGGGGTGTGGACGAGAAAAAATGAAAGAGAAAAAAGAGAGAAAGAGAATAAGAAGAAAGAGTAAGATTGTTGTGGATTCTGAGATGAAATTCGGTCTCCAATGAAGAACAAACGCAATAATTAAATATAAGAAATAAAATGCATTTACACAATCATGCAAAGAGTAATACTGTTAGTAAGTCTAGGAACGCGGTTAGTAGCAAATACAGATGGATATATACAGTCTCGAAGTAGGACTTCCATAGAGTCTACTCTCTCTCTCTCTCTCTCTCTCTCTCTCTCTCTCTCTCTCTCTCTCTCTCCGTATATCCTCTCACTATCCGACTACTCTCACTGACTGTCTATATTTAACGGCAGCCGTCCAAGTAACACTGGTAGAGTCCACTTATATGAAAAAGGGGAGAACCCCATAACAAAAATGAGAGAGAAAAATGAGGAGAAAAAACAAAAAGAGGGAAAAAAAGAAAATATGGGAGAAAGAGAAAAATGAAATAAAAAGAAGAAGAAAAATGAAAAATGAGAAGAAAAGAGATAAGAAAGAGAGAAAGAAAGAAGAAAATGAGGGAGAAAGAGAAAAATGGGCGAGAAATTGAAAAAGTAAAGGAAATATAGAAAAGAATGAAGGAGAAAGAGAAAAAGAGAGAGAAAGAGAAAAAATGAGGGGAAAATATAAAATGAGCCAAAAAGAGAAAAAAAAATCCGTGAAAAAGAGAAGAAAATGATTGGGAAAGAGAAAAATGAAAGAGAAAGAGAAAAAAGAGAGTACATTGAGAGAGATAACATTAGGCAGAAAGAGAAAAAGATGGAGAAAGTGAAAAATGAGGAAGAGAGAAAAAATGAGATAAAAAGAAGGGGGAGAAAGAGAAAAATGATGAAGAAAGAAAAAAAGAGGGAGAAAAATGAGGTAGAAAGAGAAATGTGAGCTAACCGGTTATCGCTCCTCACTTATCAGAACTCGGTCGAGGGTAAATAAGTTTCCCTTTGTGCACAATCGACGAAAAGATCACATGGAATTCTAAAAGAAAGCCACCGTAAAAGAATATTTTGTAAAGGAATATATATTTTTACATAAGGAAGGTTGCCTTGACATAATAAAAAATAGTTTCTGGAACCTGTAAATGATAACTAAAACGTCATCTACACAGAACTGAAACATTTCCCCACTTCTATAAGCCGAAACACAATATTGGTTTTCGTATGAGGTGCTTTGTAATTACAAAACCGGATATAAAAGTAGGGCTATGCAAATTATGAAGTTCATGCACATACCCCTGGGAAGTTATGAATCCATCGACCCACCCCACAACTAGGGATTATCAGCAGAGTAGATTGGACTCTCTAACATTACTTGGAAAAAGACCACTCTGAACTCAAAGCTGGTTGGGCGTGGAGTTAAAAATTTCATATCGTAAATAATATTTCTGTGCAAATGACTTTTAGCAACACCTAGTGTGGTGAAGCTGTGGCCCTATACTCTAAAGGGGAGCTGGCAGGATTAATATTCAGTTTGTAATTTCTTTAAATACATAAACGCCTGGAATTTTTTTTATACAATTAAGATATAGTGCTGAAAGGTTCTTAATCCCATTAATCTTACGGAAAGCCGACAAAACATTTTTTCTTTTTAAATCAGTTCTCCCCGAGCAAGGTGATAATGCCATTAAGGTGCAAGAAACGAATTGGAAGAACAGAGAATAAAAAAGATTTTAGAAGGAAACGGAAACCCAATCCTAAACAATAAACAAATGATAAACACCTACTCCTGTTCAAAAGACCGGAGATGATTGTGAATCGAGCGATAGGAGATTCAATTTAGGAAAATAAATAATAAATAAAATTTCAGAGTTCAGGCGGTGATGTTAGACGTAAAGGGTTGAAGTAAACTTTAGAAGGAACCGGAAACCTAATCCCGAACAAGGAACAAGGGATAAAACTCTACCCCTGTTAAAAAAAAAAAAAAAAAACGAATAGAATGAACCTGACAATTGGTGAACCTATTGAGGAAAAACATTAAAAAAAAAATGCAAAAATAAAACATAAACAAACAGTTACTAAAATTACAAAGTATAGAATGCACTTGTTCACGGCGGGAAAATTTTCCAAAGTCTTCTCTTAATATTTGCCTAGTATATTAAATATACACATACAGAATTTAGCGGAAGTTTTAAGCAAAACAAAGAAAAAAGACAGTTATACTTAGAATTAGAAAGAGCTAGACGAAATTTCTGGGTTACACAACGAGGAAATAAAGCATAAAGTATTGGACACTCATAGGCTATACAGAAAGCAAGAAGGACCAAGTAACCTATCTAACGACCTTGTGTAAATCTCTCATTAAACCGCCCCAGAGAAACTTCCCGCCAATACCACCCATCATCATGCCTGATGATCGACTCCGTTAGAGTGTCTCACTGCGCCTCATGTTTTCCAATGACTTGAGGTTGAACAACTACATTGAATCAATAGCTGCATCTTCTGCTAGGAATGTCGGTTCAGTTTTACTCATGCTAGAAGTTTTTTTTCTCGTCAGAGTCCATCTTATACATCTACAAATCTACCATTCATCCATGCATTGAATATTGTTGCCATGTTTGGTCTGGTGCCCCTGCAGTTCATCTCGACGTTCTCGACAAAATCCAAAGAAAGGTTGGCAATGTAATCGGTCCTTACTTCGCCGCCTCTACTCCAGCAGTTTCTTTTCACGCGCTTCCCGACAGAGGAACTCCCTTCCTCTTACTTGCTTCCCTGATAACTACAATCTTCAAAAATTTTAATGCAACGTCAGTCTCCATCTTCTGCTGCCTTGATCCCTGTTCTTCTTTTATTCTCTATTCAATCTTCACTATACACAGTCTTTTCACTCTGTAAGCCCCAGCGTTCTAGTGGTTCTCCCGCCTTGCCAGGGATGAAATGCTTGAAGAAATCGATATCAGAACAGTGAATAAGATTCATTAATTGATTTCTTTTTTTGTATGGTTTATCAACCAATAATTGGTTATTTTTTAGCCGAAACATATATTGATTTTGTAGGAATTTTCCTTCTTTTTTTGCATCAGCAATTCTTTGAGGGTAACAATGATTTTTCCAGATACAAATCCTACTTTTTAATCCATAGCTTGGAAGGAGGAGACGGATTCATAGCTGTACCAAAGGTATTTGTGCGTAAGTATATTTAACAAACTCGACTGGAATTCGAACTCGGCTCATCGAATTCTCAAAATGAAACGAATTTCATACACCAACCACTCATCCAAAGGGAATCAGGTCTTTGTTTTTGATTTTGGTTATATCATTTTTTTTACGGTATATCAACTTTTTGCGGTTTATTTAAAACCAAAAAATATTTTTAGATTGTCAAAATATTTTGAAGAAAAAATAACGATTTACAGATTTAAGTCCTACTTATTAACTTATACCTGGGGGAGAAGATGTAGATTCAAACGCTTTCCCAAGTGTACTTGCGCATAAGTGAATATTACGAACCCGATCGGAGCTGGAACACGGCTCTCCATGCACTGGGCGTCCGACGACGGATGGTAAAATGATAAATACTGCAATAAAAGCTACGAAAGTTTTGGCGAGGCATCATTGCCCACGTCCCGAAGGAACACATAACAAAGAAAAACAAAACGTTGGAATCAGAGTTACATTATGAGACAGTCACACTTAGGGGAATTTTTCTGAGTGTCTATATTGGTTTTGTATATTGTATTTTGTATGTTGTATATTGTATTTTGTATATTCTATTTTGTAATATTCTATTTTGTATTTTGTACATTGTAAACTGTATGTTGTATTTTGTATATTCTATTTTGTATTTTGTACATTGCATACTGTATGTTGTATTTTGTATACTGCATAGTGTATTTTGTATATTCTATTTTGCATTTTGTACATTATATATTGTATGTTGTATTTTGTATTTTGTATACTCCATATTGTATTTTGTATATTGTATATTGGTTTTGTAATAATATTTTATCCTTAAAACTAATATTCGCTAAACCATTATTTTTTTCAAATTACTTTTAAATATTTTTCCGTCTTTCTCAAATTTTTGTTCTTAGCGTTTCTTTTCTTATCTTTTCTTTGTCTTTAATCAAAATAAAACAATCATCTGTGAATTGTAATGGAATACAGAACGGGGAGTAGGAGTGATGAAGACAAAAAAGGAAGTAGGAGAGAAAATAAATCGTTCACATCCTGAAGTGACTTGGCACAAAGAAGTTACTCTATTAAAAGTGGATAAGGTAATCAAAAACATTCCATCTTATATCAGCGGTGCTTTTATAAAAATAATGTCTTCTCTGGTAAATATTTACAGAGGTCAGGCGTATGCTTGGCCACAGTCTGTAACATATCCATACCTGTGACGTTCCATTGCAGAAACTTTCCCGTAGATTCTAACAGGAAATTTGTCGTAGAGAAGTTGACCTTTTTGTGAACACGAAGTGAATTTTGTTATCGACCTAAAGACACATGCAGCCCTTTTGTAAATACTAATGTAAATATGTTTCTGTAAAAGCAAGTATGACATACAAGAGTCGCCTACTTATGTCTACTCGCCAAAAACGAAATATAAAACTTGATGTACACAGATAACACCAATATATTAATGTTCTTGCTTTCATATATACTATCTAAATACAAAACGGAAATATATATATATATATATATATATATATATATATATATATATATATATACACACACAAAACTGTATTATATATATATATATATATATAGTTCTGTACTTGTTTTCATATATACTATCTAAATACACAACGGAATATATATATATATATATATATATATATATATATATATATATATATATATACACACACAAAACTGTATTATATATATATATATATATATATATATATATATACTGTTCTGTACTTGCTTTCATATATACTATCTAAATACAAAAAAGTATATATATATATATATGTACACAAAACTGTATTATATATATATATATATATATATATATATATATATATATATATATATATATACACACCGTTTTGTTCTTGCTTTCATATATACTATCTAAATACAAAATGGTATATATAAATATATATATATATATATATATATATATATACAAAATGGTATTATATATATATATATATATATATATATATATATATGTTTTTATATATATATATATATATATATATATATATATAGAGAGAGAGAGAGAGACATTTCGAACTAATGGCGTATAAACGTCAGTCGATGCAGACCCTCTTTGGATATCATCGCATCGTATTTGCTTACATTCAATGTTGTGTCGATTGAAGACGTGCGGAAAAGAGAGGTGAGAGAATTCTAGGGGGAAAAAAGTCCAACGTCGGCGCCAGAGGTAGAATTTTAATGCATGACATGTAGGAATGATGTTTTTTGACCCGAAATCTAAAGGGCAAAGACACGATTATGAAGAAACCCATAATTAAGATATGAAAATACCAAACTTCCTCGCATACAATGTTATCATGTTTCATACACGCATTTGTATCTGTCTGTCTAGTCTAAACCTTTTTCATATCTATCTATCTATCTATCTATCTATCTATCTATCTATCTATCTATCTGTCTGTCTCATTTAGTTGAATCTCCGTTTGTTCATATCTGTCTATCTATCCAATCTCGGTATGTCCATATCTATCTATCTATCTATCTATCTATCTATCTATCTATCTCTCTCTGTTCATATCTATCTATCTTCTCTATCTATCTGTCTATCTAATCTCGCTATGTTCAAATATATCTATCTA